CCCCCCACCTCTCCCCCTCTCCCGCCCAGCCTCGTGGCCCTCCCTGTAAAGCCCTGCTCCCGGGGAGGAGGGGGGAGGCCGCATGTATCCCTGGGACCCTGCCAGCCTCTCCTGTCTCTCCTGAAGCAGCCGTGTGCCCGTCGGACCTGCCCCAGCTGTGGAAAGGCGAGGGTGCCCCCGGGCAGCCTGCCGAGGACAGCGTCAAGCAGGAGGGGCTGGACCTCACTGGCACGGCTGCCACTGCTACCTCGTTCGCCGCCCCCCCCAAGGTCTCACCCCCCCTCTCCCACCATACCCTTCCCAACGGACAGCCCACTGTGCTCACATCTCGGAGAGACAGGTACGGGGCCCAGGGGAGGGGCCACCACAGACCTGCCAAAGGCAGGGACCCCCAGGATGGTGCCCGGTGAGGCCTGGGAGGGAGGGCCTGGAGCTCAGGAGCCGCGAGGTTCACCCAGGGCACACAGAACTGCTTGGCCTCTGGGAAACGTCACCAGGGGAAGCCCCAGCCGAGGTGGGTTCAGGGCTGCTGGGGTCTTCAGGGTTCCCGACCACCACCTCCCTCCTGTCTTCCCAGCTCCTCCCATGAGGAGACCCCTGGCTCCCACCCCCTCTACGGACATGGAGAGTGCAAGTGGCCTGGCTGTGAGACCCTGTGTGAAGACCTGGGCCAGTTTATCAAGTAGGTGTCACCCCTAGCAACCCTTCCCCACTGGGCCCCCCCAGCCCTCCCCCAGCCTGCCGCCCAGCTCCCCCCCAGCTTGGCCCCTGGACCCCAGGGGGCTAGCTCCTCCTCTGCCCACCATCAACCCCTTCACTCCCCTCCATCTCTGCTCCCCATCCCACTCCCTCGGCTGGGGCAGGAGCATATGAGGAGAGGGAGAGGACCCACTCTGCCCTCCCCAGCTTCCCTCCACACTCAGCCCTGCAGAGTGACGCCTGGTGATGGGCTGAGGGCCCGGACAGGCAGGACAGGCCGGGCGGGAGGCGGACAGGCGGGCGGCGGCCGGGGGGGCCCCCCGCCGTGCCAGGCTCTGTCACTGACTGATTAACTCCGCTGTCTCCCAGACCCTTGCAGCATCAGGGTCAAACAAATTGTTTTCACGCTTCGTCAGAGGTTTACTTAATTAGTTCATTTGCAATTAGATCTCTCTGTAGCTGGGATTTTAGCAAAGACATCAAAGGAGGCTGCCGAGAAGCCTTCCTCCTTGCCCCGCTTTTTTCTACCTCTTTCTCTTCTTTGTATCTCTTGGTCTGTCTGCTTTTCAGGCCGTGGGCGGGATTTGAGATGGGATGGGAGGGTGGTGACAGCAAAAAACATGGGCCGACTCTCTCTCTCCCTGCCCCTCCTCCCCTCAAAGACACCTCAACACGGAGCACGCCCTGGATGACCGGAGCACGGCCCAGTGCCGGGTGCAGATGCAGGTGGTGCAGCAGCTGGAGATCCAGGTGTGGCCGGGGAGGTGGAGGAGGGCGCGGGTGCCAGCCCTGCCCACCCACATCATCCACTTTCCAGGAGGAGCTGGGGGTTCTCCCGGGAGGGTCCTGTGGTCAAAGCACCGGCTCATGCTTTCTGGGTCCTAATTACTATGGTGAGGACAGCTGGGCTCTGAGGGGTGCACCAAGGTGCAGGGTGTCTCCACTGGGAGGTCCCACGGAGACTCACACTGCATTAAAGCAACAAAGATAGGGCCGGCAGGTGGCGTGGAGCTTAAGGTGCTGGGTCCCACATGGCCGGCTGCGTGGTTTGAGACCTGGATCTGGCAGCTTGAAAATCGTGCCAAGTCCGTGTGTGTATGCACCCAAAATCCTGAGAGGAGAGTAGGGAGAATAGATGGTGGCGTCGCCGTCCCCCCGGGAGCTGATTTCTCGTGTTCCCTCCTTCTCTTTCTTCTACGAGCACAAAATGAGTCCTGTAGCAAAAAACAAAAAAAAAAAGGCAACGACAAGACACACACACACACACACACACACACACACACACGTTCTCCCAGAGATCCTGTGAGCCGTGTAAATACGTAGGTCAGTGCGAAGCAAGCACTCGGTGTTACCCGCTGATATTATCTTTGCTGCGTTTTGTTTCTTTTTCTTTTTTTGCTGTAGGGCTTGCCAGAGAATGACAGAGAGGGAGGGAGGGAAAGTGAGAAATCCCCCCCAGGAGGGATGGCCACACCACAATCCCTTCTCCATTCTCCTCCTGGGATTGTGGGCACGCCCGCACATGCGCCCACCATGATTTTCAAGCTGTGGGTCTAGAACTCAGCCTGCACAGTCGGCCCTGTGGCATCTAGCCTCCTTCACCTCCATGGCACCTGCCGGCCTATGTTCCCATCTCACAAATGAAACACACACACACACACACACACACACACACACGTTCTCCCAGAGATCCTGTGAGCCGTGTAAATACGTAGGTCAGTGCGAAGCAAGCACTCGGTGTTACCCGCTGATATTATCTTTGCTGCGTTTTGTTTCTTTTTCTTTTTTTGCTGTAGGGCTTGCCAGAGAATGACAGAGAGGGAGGGAGGGAAAGTGAGAAATCCCCCCCAGGAGGGATGGCCACACCACAATCCCTTCTCCATTCTCCTCCTGGGATTGTGGGCACGCCCGCACATGCGCCCACCATGATTTTCAAGCTGTGGGTCTAGAACTCAGCCTGCACAGTCGGCCCTGTGGCATCTAGCCTCCTTCACCTCCATGGCACCTGCCGGCCTATGTTCCCATCTCACAAATGAAAACAGAGACATAAAGACCTTAAGTGACTGTCCCGTGGCTGCCCAGCTCATGAGTGGCAGAGCTGGGATTAGAACCCTGATAGTCTGGCTCCTGGGTCTAGGCACTAAAGCACAAAGTGCCCAGGAGGTTTCAGGATCATCCATCATCAGCCTCTCCCATTTCTCTCTGGCCCCCTGCAGAGCACCCTGGCACGAGAGGGTAGTCGTGACAGATGTGAGTTTATGAGTGGGGTGAATAGGTCACTCATGTGTTCCGTGTGCCCGTTCAGCACATGAGGGCCTTCCACACGGAAGCACCACTGCTCTAGGCACTTGGGTGTTGTTCAGCTGCAGCCTCGGCCTGGGGGCAAAGGGTGGGTGCTGTTAGGAAGAGGCTCCCCATGAGTGGAGGACAGTGAGTTTGGCCTGGGACACACAGGCAGGAGGGCTTCTGGAGCTGCCCCACCTGGGCCTTGAAGCTGTGGAGGACCAGAGGACAGAGGGCTGCTGAGGCCTTCAGTAGGGAGCCTGGCTGCTGGGCCATGGGGGCCAGTGAGGGTGGGCAGAGGCCCTCCTAGGAGGTAGAGGATAGCGAGGTGCTCACAGCCTGCGGGACACAGCCCCTGCTCGCCTTCTCCCCACCCCACAGCTGGCCAAGGAGAGCGAGCGGCTACAGGCCATGATGGCTCACCTGCACATGCGGCCCTCCGAGCCCAAGCCCTTCAGCCAGCCGGTGCGTGACTCCCTTCCCCAAACCTCTCCGCATTCCCCTGGACCCTCGGGCCTCCACCCATGGGTGCTGATCTCAGCACTCCCCATCACTCACCGCTGAACCCAGTCCCCGGCCCCTCTTCATTCTCCAAGGTGACCGTCTCTGCAGCAGACTCT